CCCTCTGGCCCCCCCCCCCCCCCCCCCCCCCCCCCCCCCCCCCCCCCCCCCCCCCCCCCCCCCCCCCCCCCCCCCCCCCCCCCCCCCCCCCCCCCCGCCCCCCGCCCCCCGCCCCACCCCCCGCCCCCCCCCCCCCCCCCCCCCCCCCCACCGCCCGCCCGCCGCCCCCCCCCCCCCCCCCCCCCCGCCCACCCCCCCCCGCCCCCCCGCCCCCCCCCCCCCCCCCCCCCCCCCCCCCCCCCCGCCCCCCCCCCGCCCCCCCCCCCCCCCCCCCCCCCCGCCCCCCCCCACCCCCCACCCCCCCCACCCCCCCCCCCCCCCCCCCCCCCCCCCCCCCCCCCCCCCCGCCCCGCCCCGCAGCCTCCCCCCCCCCCCTCCCTCCCCCCCCCCCCCCCCCGCCCCCCCCCCCCGCCCCCCCCCCCCCCCCCCCTCCCCCCCCCCCCCCGCCCCCCCCCCCCCCCCCCCCCCCGTCCCCCCCCGCCCCCGCCCCCCCCCCCCCCCCCCCCCCCCCCCCCGCCCCCCCCCCGCCCCCCCCCCCCCCCCCCCCCCCCCCCCCCCCCCCCCCTCCCCGCCCCGCCCCCCCCCGCCCCCCCCCCCCCCCCCCCCCCCCCCCCCCGCCCCCCCCCCCGCCCCCCCCCCCCCCCCCCCCCCGCTCCCCCCCGCCCCCCCCACCACCCCCCCGCCCCCCCCCCGCCCCCCCCCCCCCCCCCCCCCCCGCCCCACCCCTCCCCCCCCCCCCCCCCCCCCCCCCCCGCCCCCCCTCCCCTTCTCTAGTGACCACCACACAGGAAAAGCAGAGGTTGTGAAGAGCTGGGGGATAGCAAGTGGACAGAGGGGACAACAGAGGGCCTAGTGGTCTCAGAAGCACTGCCTAGCTATTGCTTCCAAGATCCCATCCTTTTAACCCAGAGCTTAAAGGCACTGGATTGATTTTTTTTCAAGTTCTCTAGATTTTTGCTGTGTGTGTGGAAGACATTTTTTAGGTAATAGAAAGAAATAAACTTGCACAGCAGGAATGGAATTTGTGAGTTCCCTGGCTGATTTGTGCAAAGCTGGTTTTCAAATAGCAAAGTTGGAGAGAGGGAAGGTGAAAAGGCCTTCCTACAGTGCCTTTCTCCTACTGAAAGTCAAGGGCAACACTGCAAAAAAGCTGGCAGATGGCAAACCATCCCCACCTCCACAGCCTATGTGTTATCAACAATTAAACATGCTCTTATTTATCTCTGGCCAGCACAACTGTCACGATCTTAAAATTTTATGATGTTTCCATTGTGATGCTAATTTGTTGAGATGGTTTTCTGGGTAATTTCATATTGCTGTTACTCAGCTTCAAGGATTATAAAATAATAATAATAGCTCTATGTGCTAACGGATGCATTAGCCGATGTCTCCACAGCAATGGCTCTCCTTGATGAGAAGCTCTGCAATATGAATGTGTGCCAGCCGAGGGTTTGTGATTGTTAATATGGTTGTACATCTTTTTTCCAAAGAGCTCAGAGCCCAGGACTGACATCGCCCCAGGAATTTTTATAGTCCTAAGTGAGGAAAGACGATGACAGAATTTTTGTTAATCCCTACTACACTTGTCTCCAGGTTATTCTGTAAGAAAATGTTCAGGAAACCATAGAGAAGTTTTAAGTAAAAGAGTAGCATGAGCTGATTGGAAAAGCCATCTGTAGTGCTACCAAAGGAGGAGTTCATGCCTGCTGCCTTACCTTTCAGTGATTTCATTGTTTTAATGTTTGAGAAAGTTACTTGTCCTTCCTTTCTGCTGTAGGTCAGTGGGTTACCCACCCCAGATCTGAGCTGGCAACTAGATGGAAAGCCCATCCGCCCCGACAGCGCTCACAAGAGCTCGTGCTCGTGTGAGAATGGGGTGCACTCTCTGATCATTGAGCCAGTCACGTCTCGAGATGCCGGCATCTACACGTGTATAGCCACCAATCGAGCAGGACAGAACTCTTTCAGCCTAGAGCTGGTGGTTGCTGGTGAGCTCCTCTGGATCCTTCCTCATAGCCACAGTGAATGTCATCTTACACATGGAAACTGATTCTGCATTATAAATCAAGCTGCTGATTAAGAGATTGTATTGCCAAAGTGCAATGAGGATGTGATATAAGGCTTAGCAGATCAGAAATACTAATTTTCCTTACTTCAGTGTAGCCTTCATTATTTATTTTTCCTTTCTCCCACTAGCCTGGCAAAGAGGGGAAAGGATTTTGGCTTTTCTGGGTCATTCGACTTCTCATGTATGTGGTGGATCCAGTATTACACAGGGAAAGAGTAACAGCAGCACAGGCTGCAAGAACTAAAGAATGCTTATACGTATGTAAAGTTCAAAATACAGACTTCATTTTTAACAGAATGTGCAGTGATTTCAAAATTCAAACTTTTTTGTGGTATTAGGATTCAAACTCGGGGTATTCTTGCTAGATACTCTTGAGCCGTACCCCCAGCCCTTTTTTGCTTTAGTTATTTTTCAGATAGGGTCTCAAATTTTTGCTCAGCCCTGCCTCAGGCCAAGATCCTCCTATCTACATGCCTCCTATGTAACTGAGATAACAGGTGTGTACCACCATGTTCAGCTTGTATGTTGAGATGGTGATCTCCGTAACTTTTTTGCCAGGGCTGCCCTCAAACTGTAATTCTCCTGATCTCTTGTCTCTTGAGTAACTAGTGCTACAGGTGTGAGCCACTGCGCCCAGCCCAAAATTCAAATTTTTTTAAATAACATCATCATCTATATCCAGTGTCACAGTCAAAATAAGAGTTGCTTCTTCATTGATTATACTATAGATAAGTTTTGTAAAAGTGTTATACAAAGTCCTATAGAAGCCTAAAAGGAAAATACATTCATGGGAATGTTTATAGCATCCTTAGGAGTGAGGCCTAAGTAAAGATTCTGATTATCTGATCTCTTTTTTTAAAGACGCATACCAAAAGATCATGCCCACTTCTTAGTCCTCTGTTTGCAAAGCATCTCATACACATTTTCTCTCATTCTCACAACAGCCCTATGAGACCTCAGTGTTTCTAGGACCCCATGTAGTAAGAGAATCAGACTGAAAACGGTCTACTGATCTCTAGTGCTCTCCCACACACACAGAGAGCCATCAAACTTTATCAAGAAATAAGAGTTGCAATGAGATAAAATCCAGGAGTTCCTGTGGATAACTCTGGATGATGATTCTATCAATTGCATCAAGATGTTTTTGCACAACAATGTGGGCTTAGTATCCATTTAGTCATGCTTTTTAATGTTTTACAAGTATATTCCTTCCTACACACTAGGACTGGCTTCATTCATTCCCCTAACCTCAAACTAGAGCTGCTTTTTCCTCTCCTATTAAATACACATTGGATCGTATCTGTCCTGCAGGCATTTCCATATGCCTTGGCCCCTCTTTCAGAGATGGCAGTGCACAGTAATTGGAATCTGGATCTTGCCATCAGATCTCACTTCCAATACCCATTCTTTACCTGCTCTCTGACCTTTGGTAAATGATGTCGTAGCATCTCAATTTTTCCATGGGAACCCTAATGTGTCACAGCATTTTGTAAGGATTAAATCATAAAAATGAGTATCCTGCACAGGAGTGCTCCAAAATGGTGCATATTGTTCTTATTGGTGTGTTATGACATTAGGCTTATTTTAAACACCTTATGTTCTTTTCAAAACTAAATCCCAGAGAGGTGGAAGCCTGGCTCAAGTTGTAGTATCCACCTAGCAAGCCTGAGTTCAAACTCTAGTACTGCCAAAAAAAAAAATCCCTAAGACCCAGAAAGAATATGCAGTGAGCTTCTGTTCCCACTCCCCCAAAACAGACTAGGTTAGTAAGCTCATAAAATTTTTTTAAAAACATACAATCCTCTACACAAGTCAAGGTATTAGAGAGACCTTGAAAATTTCAGGTAGACCTTGTATCTCTGAGGTCGCTCTTAATTGCTTATTATGATATCTCTGTCATTCCAGATGAGGGGGTCGTGGTGGGGCAAGACATACATCCTCAAATTCATTGTTGGTAGCTCAGAAATGAATTAAACTTTATTCTTTCTCTGAAATTGCTTTGATCACTGACCCAAGAAAACAATTTCTTGTTGGATGGCAATATTCAAAGCATTATTAACTATCAGTTCTGATTTTTTCAGACAAAGTAATAAGATTGTCTTTTTTATGACTTCCTTCCTATAAGGTGATAATAAAGTCTTTTTTATAGCTCCCTTCAAAGAAAACAAATTGGAATTTGTAATTTACAGGATGCACTCTCCGAGTTTATAGGTAACTACTGAAAGCTGTCAAATTTAAATGAAGATCCCTCTCCTGTATCTTTCCCCACTTACAGCCTGTGGCGTCTTTCTCAAGACAACAGTTACAGCTGAACGCTGGTGGCTCACTCCTGTAATCCTAGCTACTCAGGAGGCAGAGATCAGGAGGATCACAGTTCAAAGCCAGACCAGGCAAAGAGTTCACGAGACCCTATCTCGAAAAAACCATCACAAAAAGGGTTGGGGGAGTGGCTGAAGGTGAAGGCCCTGAGTTCAAGTCCCGGTACAGCAAAAAAAAAAAAAAAAAAAAAGACAGTTAAAATCTTCAGAGCAAACATTTCCGATGGCAGTGAAGAGATGAAGTGGATCCTTTCCCTAGAAATGCCTGTGCTGCCCAGCCTCACTAGCGGGCGCTGTGGGTGTAGACTGAGTGCACGGGACGTAGTGAGCTAGCCAAGCCCACGCTGGCCGTGGCTTAGAAACCTCCCGCAGCCGGTCAGACGTGCAGTCCGTGGAGCAGATGGGTAGGGGACTGTGTGGGCCAATCAGTCTTGAATTAATTGAAGGAATAAATGAGCGGAATGAAGCGTGTGAAAGAATTAGTGGAGAGGACTGACATCTTACCACCTGAAGTGAGAACTGGCATCATAAAATAAAAGATCTATTCAGGCAATAGTTCTAAAGGCTTCTGAAATCTTTGTGGTGCTGCTTTTGTACCGCGTTGAAAGATAATCCATCACGTTTTGTCCTTAGCTAAAGAAGCACACAAACCCCCCGTGTTTATCGAGAAGCTGCAGAACACAGGAGTTGCTGATGGGTACCCGGTGCGCCTGGAGTGCCGGGTTGCAGGGGTGCCACCGCCGCAGATATTTTGGAAGAAAGAAAATGAGTCACTCACTCACAGCACTGACCGAGTGAGGTAAGGCGACAGTGACTTAACTAACCCTAACTACTCAGTCTTGTGATGCATAAAAGGACACATAAGATGGGTAGCAAGTAATCAGTGTGTGTAGAAAAGCCATGCTATTGATGACATCAAAGACAAAAATCACTCTTTATCCAAATGTAGGTTTAAGTTTTTAGAAGGAAGCTATTTTGATATGTGATACAGCATATTCTGACTTAACCTAATAGTAGTCTTTAAAAGTGTTTATATCAAAAAGAGAAGATGAGTTCACTTGCCTCAGTGGTGACAGGGATGATGGTTGGCTTCTGTAAAGGCAGATCATCTGCAGGAAATGGTGCAGATTTACTCACCCTCTTGAGGGCTGCTCTTCTCTCCCATTAACTGTAATGGCGCCAGCAGCCTCTCCAGAATGAGTATGGCCCTATTATCTACTTGCAAAGTTGTGTTTCTAATGACATAATTAAAAATGATGCTTCCTATCCAAAGCTACTACTGTTCAAGATTTTAGAGTGCTAATGGCTTTATCTTTCTCTGCAGCATGCACCAGGATAATCATGGTTACATTTGCCTGCTCATTCAGGGAGCCACAAAAGAAGATGCTGGCTGGTACACTGTGTCTGCCAAGAACGAAGCAGGGATTGTGTCCTGTACTGCCAGGCTGGATGTATACAGTGCGTGCTTTTGTTGCATTTGCTCATTGAATTATGAAAAAAATTACACATCTGTACAGTAAATCACATGACTCTTATAAACAACTATAGCATTTTGTTTGTCAAAAAATTCATATTGCTCTTTCTCTTTCTATTTATAGTTTCTCAACATTAATAGTGAAATCCCACCAGGAGAACAAATACCCAAGTATCACTCAGGAAGTGGAATTATTAGCAAGCTATGCATGTTGATTTCTCTTACACTGGCTAGTCAGTTGTGGCTTCTTTATTCAAGCATCCTTAGGAGTTAACAGTAGACAAAGGCATCGATGTTTTTCACGTTGTCTTATTACTGTGTTCTGCAAATGACTGTTTTTAACATTTCTTCCTGTATTATAATCTTATCACACTATCCTAATGCACTCTAGATGTGTGTGCCATTGATGCTGGAATGCGTACTGTTGCAGCTTAGTGCTTTTCTCATTAATAGATTTTAGCAGCTCAGCAACAGATTTGTGAGTGTTTGTGTATCCATATTTGTATACATTTGTCCTGAATTTTAAAAAAACCTGTC